CGCGTTTACCGAGCTGATGCCCAGAAACTGGTGACGTAACCCCGTTTATTGAGATTCTGCTTCCCTAGCAACGGGTCTCCACGCTACAATACATAGACTTATATGAGTGTATTCAAATCCGCGAAACTGATTATTTTAAGAAAAGAAACAAACAAAGATAAAACGGAAAAAGGAAAAAAGGATCAAATTCATATAAAAAAGAGAGATGTGTTCCAGGAAAGGGAATAAAATTATAGATAGACGTTAAGAAAGAAAATATAATTTAAAGAAAAATGAAGGAAAGTATGATTTAAAATATAATCTTATTTATCAACAAAAGAATTTTAAAGTAGGCATATTTGTCGAGAAAGAGAAATGCCAAGGGTCAAGAATACAAGATACATAAATGGGCCTACACTCCGAGCACACACTCTAAAGAAGATGCATTAAAATATTTGCAAATTGCTGTGGCCATACTTACAGCTGGAGTCTTCACTGTTCTGTACTGATAAGATACTTTATGCATTTTGTGTACCAAGATTTTACAGTAAGTAATTCTGCTGACTTGGCACTGTGTAGTTTCGCATTCTCCTATCAAATGTTGCTATGGGGTGCACACAGTGGCTCTTATACCTATTAACTTCTTTAACAATGTCAGATTCTGAGAAATAAACAGGAATTGTGAGATTTGAGATTCCTGTGGCGATGATTAGGGGCATTGCTGTCTTCTAACGTGACGCTCTATAGTCCAATATGTAGGTTCCAACATGTCGAAGGATCATCGTACATCTGAAAACGGAGTCAGCAGATCCTTATGGAACATTTGTACCTAACTACGAAACTAAATAGTATCATACCCCAGAAGAGAGCAGTCTTTTATAATACTATTATTTTCATAAACATAACCAGTTGGCTTTTTTAATCGATACGGAGTGCTTTCTGCAAGGTAGGAAAAGATTTTTAGCTTACTTTTCCTGTTTTGGAAAAGAACATAAAAGTCTTAATGAAAAACCTCGCTGTTTGCATGTCTGTTTCTGTGTGTATCCTCCTGAACAACTTTTGAATGCTTGAACTGATCTTTATGAAATTTGGTACATACAACATGGCACCTAAGCCCATATCATCGGTATAAACCATAAATCACTTCCATCACTAATACCAACACTGCGACCTGTCATATGATACTGTTTTATTGAATTCATCACGGATATATACTAATGTTCTCTATTTACCCGTCGTGTCAAGAAATGAAATTGCAGTGAAAGTAGAGAGGCCTTTAGTTCTTCCCAGAAATCTGTAGTTTGATTCTCTGGGACCTCGTCGTAACAATTCATGATTCTGTGCGGTTTCGGTTTACATGAAAGTAGGAACTACAAAATCCCAAATTTTTTTTATGATTTTCTTTCTTTCGAAAACATTCTGTCGTTAGATAACTTCTTTTGACAGATGTATTAGTTCAGTAAACCCGCTGAGGAGAGATTAACTTCTTCTGTACCAATGCTTCAGATACTGGTTAGTTTGTGAAACTTTCTAACTGGAATTCGTATTTTTTCCCGCCACCTTTTCTCGTTTCTCTCAGTTCCAATAACGGGAAATACGAGGGGAAAGTCCGCGTGACCTTTGGCAGAATTCGAGACACGAAAGTGGGGGAAGTGTTTTATTGGAGGGAGAAGTTGACAGGAAAGGAGAGACTAGTGTGAACTTGGCTATCATACTGACATTCGATTGCTTTTAGATGGTAGGGGAGAACGGGGCATCCTCGGCAGATTAAGGGAAACACACCTCTTATAGCGAAAGAATATAGCTCAGGTTAATTTTATATTTATATTAATTACAACCTGTGATCGGAAATTTAGTAGAGGTGTGTTTATTGCATATGTAAATAGTGTGTGTTCTATAAAACGCATTTTTATTTCTGAAGAAGATTACACTGCCGAAGTTGGTTAGAACAGAGGGGAAATTCAGAGGAGAAATTACTCTCTACATGACTGTTGTATACAATATAAGCAGAAAGATGAAACGCGTAGGAAATCAGTAATTAGCCCCGAACACAATAAATGTCTTAACAACAATGTGTACCCGCCCTTAACTCTTTGCAGACATGTTCTATCGTCTGCCCCGCTTCCGTGCAGGCCAGACTTCGCAATAATCGAGAGAACTTTTCAGGGTACTTACTCCTTATGTCAGAGTTGACGGAACAGATTGATGCAGCAGTATCGCACTAGACTTCTATTCGAGACATGCTCGTTTCGAATCTCGATCGGAACATCGACTATCCTAACATACTTCATTGTCGTTCCTCAGTCCCTACATGTGGAGTCAGGCTATTACTTCGAATAGGCCACAAATTTCTTCCTACCAAATAATTTCCAATTCATTTTTCATCAATCCTATCATTCGGCGCTGTATAGCCTAGACACTGACAGCATCGTATAGTGAACAAGAGGAGAAGCCGCAGTTGCCCCATCTTCCCCTATATACTCGTACCTTCCTAACTTGGAAGAAAGGCCGTGCCATAGCTCAAGCGTTTAGTCGCTGGCTTCTTACCGCGGCGGCCCGTGTTCGATCCCTTGTCTGGTCAAGTGGGATTTGTGTGGAAAAAGTAGCGCTGGGGCGGGTTTTCTCCCAGTACTTCGGTTTCCCCTGCTAATCTTCATTCCACCAAATTCTCCATAATCATAATCACCCGGGGCAGGTACAATAGGCCAATCAGTGGCCGCTGTGCCGAATGGAACCAATTGGACTCCACCCCCCACTAAACGAATAAAAAACTTGGAGGAACTGTGAATGAAACACAAATTCTTCAGTAAAGGAAATTAAAATTCACAACCCTAACGTTGCTTTCAACCTTTCCCATATGAAACTATTCTTTCTATCGTATTCGTTATTTATCAAGTACAGGTTTTCTTCTTGCTCCTCTGCTAGTGAGGTTGAGGTAGGCATGTGGGAGGCACAAATTTCTTGCTCCTCTGCTAGTGAGGCGGAGGTAGGCGTGTGGAGAGGCACAAATTAATGAGCTGTGGGCTTACGGACGTTAAAGTGCTTCAGATAATTTCCGTAGTGGGCATAGTCGTTACGTGATGGCAATAGGAGTTGGGTAATGGCGCGTAGCGTGGTTTCGGGCGTACATCGTAACGTAACTTACAGGGTAAAGCATTGCGTTTTATACCTGTCCAGTTACAGTCATCCACTAAAGTGAACCTTAACAGAATCTGGTAAAACAATTCCTAGTACAATTACTGTGTTAGTGAAACTGTTTGTCTGTGTAGCAACTTAGCTGATTGATCGTTTAAGGCGCAGAAGCAGTTGTATGAACTACTTGCTTTATGAAGAATTCTGTCTTCTGGGATAACATGTTACATAGTTTGCTGAAAATCAACTGATGTTTCGGAATAACATATCGCCTTCATCTTCAGTGTTTAAACAAGGAATCAGCATGAAGTAAGCTGCAAGCAGAACATGTTTCATGCTACTTTCTTGTTTTGCTCTTAAACCCTGAAAATGGGGTCGATATATTCCTCCGAAATGTCTGTTGACTCTCAACTGATTATATAGCGCTGTATCCCAGAATACATAAATGTTCACAACCACTGACGTGAGAACGCCAAATCCTGCATAAACTTTTCCCTTTATTCTGACTAGAGGGTGCATCTGTGTGTTCAGTATTTTTCTTGTAGCGAAGTGGGAAAATTTCCCTAAACTTCTTTAGCCGGTTGTTATTTACAATGGAGTCACATAGTGTTTTCTGAGAGGTACGGGCTGAATTTTAAGTATCATTTAAATGAACTACATTCTTCAAGAAATTTATCGCTTATCTAATGTATTTCATGAATAAGAAAGCAATGTACCAGCTGTTTGCATGTCCTGAGGCTGGAGGTTGCAGACGCAAGCGAAATATTGGGAACACTCTACAAGACGACACAATGTCATAACCTACAAGGCTACCATCTTGATGAATGCTGTGAGGTCAACAATGACAAAATATTGAAAAAATTCAAATAAAATTACAGAACCTTAAAGAAATTAACCATTAAATATAGCAAACCTTACTAAACCTTGATTCAATGAAATCAGCTTATATATTTTGCTCCTGTATGACAACCTTCAGAGGTTCGTACAATATAGGCCCGAAATATATAAAGCGATTTTATTAACTCACTATTTTAGTAAAGTTTATTACACTTGATGGTTTACTTGTTGTTTAATAATTAACATAATGGTCATTTGTGACCTATTTGTTGACTCCCTCGTATCATTATTATCATCGTCAGGTTTTTATCTGAGTGTTGTGTTTGTCCATAATATAATTAACAGTATCTGTACTGTGATGTGTCTGTAATTGAGCTTGTAGCTGTTCACTCGGCACATAAATAATAAAGAATTTATTTTATATATCATATGTACAGCTGAACTCGGGATATAAACCGCATCTGTTAGCTGCACCATAGCGGAACACAACGGTCTCTTCGAGGCTGATATTATCATTGAAATAAGATAACTTGCCTTAAATTCTGTTAACATAGTTCAATAAATTTGACATTTATTGCGTGTTACTTCAACGCGATCAGAGGTTTGTAAACGAATCAGTTCAAATTACCTCAGACGCGTTTATCAGTGATTAAACAGATTTCTCTTTCCGTTACTGCCTCTAAGCTATAAATCCTAAAGAAGCAATTATCTCTTCCCATTACGTTATTTCGGTTCAAAATTTCGTTAAAGCACTTGCAATTAGCGATCATATATAGCCACAAAATAATAAAGGTATGACACTGCTTTAATGAATTGCAAACTTCGTTAATGCATTCATCAGTGCTTGAACAGAATTTTTCATTCACTCCCGCTAACAGAGTTATAAATCCTTAACATGCAATTATTGCTCACCTTTCCGTTATTTCGGTCCGAATTTCGTTACAACATATGCAATTAGTGATCCTATATAGCCACNAAGACTGCTTTCTTCATAGTGACCGCCGTGAAAGCCTCAAATCTTACAAGTTACGTTAGTTTCTCCGCTCTCCTACCTGTACAACATTCTCTCCTGCCGATCTGCCTCCATGTAGATGCGGTAGTACATGAATAACATGATGACTCCAGGCACCCAGAAGGACACACTCGAGGAGATTACAGCGTACGGCTTGTTGACGGTGAATCCACAGATATCCTGATGCTTCCTGCGGAATTCCAGATGTTCTTCTGTCGTATACCAACCCATGAATATCGGAACGAAGGATACAAGAGCAGGCGAACACCACACAACAGCTAACATGATTGCCAACTTCGCATGTGTCATAATCAGAGGATAATCCAATGGCTGGACTATGGCATAATACCGATCTACACTTATACAACAAAGATGGAGGATAGAAGCGGTGGAGAAGTACACATCCAAGGAGTTCCACACGTCACACATAAAGTAACCAAACAGCCAGGTTCCTCCCGTTAGCTCAACGCTCGCGTTGAAACACATGGCGCACAAAGCCACCAACATGTCTGCTAGAGCTAACGACACAACGAAATAGTTCGTTATAACTCTGAGTTTACGATGCCTCATCACACTGACGATGACCAGGAGGTTGCCAAATAAGGCAGCCATTATTATGAAGCCCATGATGGATGATTTCAAAGCTATTATCAAGGACTCTTCCCAAGTATCATCAGTTTCCTCGCTGCCAGACGTCAGAATTTGGTCTATCCAACTTTGGTTTGTGCTGTTGATGAGCAGTAACGTGGCTGTTGCAGTTGTTGTGTTGTATCCAGCAACGTTTCTTGTTGTTGAACCTGTGTTTCTCACATCGTTGCCCGAACTGCTGTAGGATTTCTCGTTTGGTTGAATAACGTTCAGGTTTCTTGTCATAAGCGTATGTTTGTCAATCAAGTTACTGATTTCCATTGTTGTTTGGCTAAAGGGTCTTGTGTTATCTCTTTTCAAGAATCAACGTTCGTTTCTTATTGTTATTTTGTTAAACTTTAAATTATTTACAATAAAATGAAATAAGATCATATAATTTGTATAAGTATCTAACACTGATAGAAAATTGAAACCACTTCAAGCAGAGTATGAAAATCGGTTTCTTCGTTTTCCGTACATAGCACCCAGAAGAACCAAAGTAACTAAATGAAGTTAAAGTGCTTGCATAATGTCAGAATTATAATCGTTTTCATTTCCAGATATACATCCTGTTCCAGAATACAGAAGTAGAACATTTCTTCTAGGCATCCCTTCGCATTGCCATCTTTGTAAGCTTCTCTTTTAGTGTTTTGACAGGTTTTTAATATTAAGTTTTCTACACTCAAGTATTTAAATGCTCCTAACTTTAACAAATGCTAGTCTGTTGAGTTTGTACACTACAAATTCATTAATTTCCACGTTTTACTTCATACGTTGAAAGTTACGGAGAATTTCCGGTTCTCTACTGTTGCCCTGTCATTATACATTTTCTACAGAAAAGAACAATTCGTAAATGCTTAGATTGAAAGTTGCACAAAAGTGGTAGCTGTAGGTTTCTCATAGACATAATACTCAGGAAGACAATATATTTACTTGTTGTAATTTTGCACTGAAAGTGGAAGAGCAAAGTATGAACGGTTTTCAAAGTAAGATAAATGTAATATTTTCAAAAAACAAATAAATCAAATTTTAATTTGAAAAGACTATTTTGCTATATATTTAATGTATTTCAAGAGCAGTAATTAATACGAGAACTTATTTTAAGTGTTCGTGGTTTTATCTTCCATATTGCAAATTTGAGAGTATTTATTTCTTAACAGTTTTGTTTCATCGATATGAAAGACTGATATATAAAAATGTTTATATAAAACCGCATTCAAATTGTTCTCGTAAATTTCGAAGAAGGTGTAAGCCTAGACTTGTATTCGAGTATGTCTAATAAATCCGAAATGTATATGTTTGTGCATAAATATATTTTTCATTTGTGGATATGTTAAATATAACCTAGATTTTGCTTAATAGTCTCTTTAACATTTTGAGAGAATTGTAACAATTGTGCCTATTATTTTTATTATTTTAGTATTTTTGAAAAAAGTTTCATTTTCACCTAAACTTGGCACACTTTTGTCAATGTGAATGCATATGACCTCACTCATATATGCATTATAATTGTATGTTAGCTTTTTTTTCAGTAACGTCAAGCAGGATGTAACTTCTTTGATAACATAAGGAACGAACGTGTTTAATAGGATTAAATTGCCATATAATGACTTTATATTTGAAAGTTCGTCAAAGGAGGAAAGTAAAGAAAGAATGTTCTATTGCAGGAACGAAAATTTGTCATTATTCACACACGATATCCTGACGTAGGAGAGTCTGTTTACATTGTTCATTGCTTTGAAGTTTTGAGTTGGCAACTAAGTAAGGGTCACTGTTGGTTTTTCTCATTCGACGTAATTACACTTATTAAATATTTATCATTTTTAAAAAAAACAGTATAAAAATTATTTTTCTTTATCCACTCTTAACACTGCTCATCAAGTTTAGGTATGAAACATGGTACACTTTTCCACAAACACAGTAGCACTTAAACATTTATGAAGTTTAAAGAGATTCGATGACTGGAATAAGTTTATTGAATTGCCTGCTAATTTACATTCACTTGGAAGAAGGAAACAACAATATAAGAAGAGTACTGATTGTCATACGTTTCTCGCAAGTCTATCGGTTTTCTTTCTCTCGGCAGAATAGAGTTTGTCTCCAAAACAGTCACAGAGTTCTGCAGCTTATTCAGCAGTGATAGAACTTATTTATAATCTGAATTTCACTTTTCTTGTAAGCAGAATTTTTGGCTATTCTGCGAAATAAATCGCGTGGCAAATTTGAAACTTTGTGTCAGCCTATTCTCAGTTTGTAATGATCTTTGTCTTAAGTAGTGAACTCACAAACATTAAACTCCACTAAATTTAAAAAAAATATACTGTTATTATTCGACGCAATAATTATGATTTCTCATACTCAAATATTGCTTAACCTTAAAAAAATGTAATTTATATGTCGACTCATCACTTTAGGAGACGCTAAATACGATTACGTTGGAAATTTTTTCGACTAAAACAGAAACGGACTTTCCTTCACACAAAAATCTCCGAGAGTTAATTTGTCCGTGAATCAAAAGACAGACGCTTGGCGTCTGAATGGGCGAAGCGTCGCGAGGTCTGTGGCGGGTCTGGTTGTCCCGGTTCGCATGTAGCTCTTCCAGGAGCTCGGGAATTTCCGCCTCCACGAACCAATGAAAGCAGCGGAGAAATCCGAAGTCTCGTGCCTCCGCTTCGTCTGTGCTTCGTACCCAGGTGTAGGTGTGTGTTCACGTAGCGTGGGGAGTAATGCTTTCGTTTAGCATGGGTTTTCCGCTTCTCCGTTTCTTGCCAGGTCGAATTGCTTCGCCGCATATTAATGAATATACATAGGAAATGAAACGCTTGGCAGTGATATTTATTATTACAGATCCTTTGGTTCTCGTAATCGTTACTGCTCAATGGTTACTATATAAACCATCTGCTTTAAAATGCTAAAACTCCGTATTATGCCCACAGAGTGTGTTTGTGTTTCGTCTGGTCGTCACAGTACATAACGCCTGTTTCCATAAGCATCATTGACGCATTGATCTTCGTATCGGAGACGTAGTATATTTCTGTGAGGTACGAACTGAATTTTTATATCATTCAGAAGAATTTTAGTCTTTAAAGAATTAATAACGCACTTTCATTATATCTTCCGCATTGTACACCATGCTCATGAACAGTTCTTGTTACATCCTTTCAAATTTGTCCCCTGATCACTCTGCCATTCGGCGCTATATAATCTGAGAGAGAGACCTTACATGTACCATAAAAAGCAAAATTTTCTCTGTGGTTTGTTACTACGCACCATGCTATGAAGACATATGGGAGAATGAAGGTATGGTCCCAGGAATCCATAGTCCCATAACTACAAGTATTTTTTTTTAATGCTTGTGGGGTGGGACTAAGTCCCTTGTACTGCGGCCACTTCTGGCCTATTGTACCAGCTCCAGATGATAGTTGAGGGTGATTGTGGAGCAATTGGTGGAATGAAGATTGGCAGGGGAAACCGAAGTACTCGTAGAAAACCTGCCCTAGCGCCACTTTGTCCACCACAAATCCCACTTGACCAGACCCGGGATCGAACCCGGGCCGTCGCGGTGGGAAGCCAGCGACTAACCGCTTGAGCTATGACGCGGTCATAACAAGAAGTGTGTGTGTGTGTGTTCAGATACGCACCTCAGCTGCTTTGCTCCTAGACAGAATGCTCCAGGTGCCCATTAAGCAGTAGAATGGTCTAGATCCGCTGGTGAAGAAAATATTTATACCGCTATCAGAATGAAACCCAGAACAGTAAGAAGACGAACTGCTCTTCTGCTTATTGCTGCCTTCTTCGCTTATTCTTCGACCCTGAAAATGAAGGCATTTCTACAAAATTTCTGAACAAGACTATACGGCGACATATCCCACAAAATTCACCCCTTTATGACAGTGAATAAAGTAGGGAAGTAAAAATAGTCTATTGTGAAGGAAAATGTATATCCGTATTTATGGTTAATATATTACAACCAGGGCTTCCGTCTCACCTTGTTTTACGGTTACAGCTTAATGTTACATAAAGTACGTAAGAAAAAAAAAGGCGTGTAAAAGAGTTTGGGTTGGAAGCCATAAATTAAAATTTTAATATCTCAAAAAGGTGAAAGCCGGTTATAAGAGGAAATGATTAATCAGGCACTGTGTTCATATTCATTTAGAAAGCTTAACCACCGTCCTTTGTGTAGCAGAGCAACAAGTTTTGTGCAGGAGGTGTATAAGAGGAAATGATTAATCAGGCACTGTGTTCATATTCATTTAGAAAGCTTAACCACCGTTATCTCAAAAAGGTGAAAGCCGGTTATAAGAGGAAATGATTAATCAGGCACTGTGTTCATATTCATTTAGAAGGACCACCGTCCTTTGTGTAGCAGAGCAACAAGTTTTGTGCAGGAGGTGTACATGGGATAGAAAATGAACATTTCTTCGGGAATTAAATATAAAGTGTGAAATATTCGTCAGGGAGCAATAAATTGAAAGCATAGATCTAATAGGTCAGTTAGAACGCACGAAGATACAGTTTAAATAGATCGAGAGGGACAGAAATTCCTCCATTCACTCACACCGCGGTGAAAACGATTTCATCAAAAGTTCCTAAGAAAAGAAATGTTCTGCTTTTCAATGTCACAATAAATTTCATTGTCTCTAAATACGACGTCATGTATTTTGTATAATTTATTTATTTAGGAGTAGGGATAATGTAGTCGGTATAGCGACTGGCTATGAGCTGGGCGACCGAGGGGTGAGAGTTCGAGTCCCGGTAGGGTCAAGAATTTCCTCTTCTCAACGTCTTCCAAACAGGCTCTGGAATTTGTTAAGTAGCCATCACTTCAGATTGTGGCATTCCGAGTTGAGACAGCATGAAGCCTTCAACGTGTGTGCGAAGATTTTGGAGGAAAATAGTGCCCCCATCTTCAGGGAATATGTAGGCGACATGTTGCTCTGAAACATTGATATCCACCCACAAGTCTGAAGGCTGTCAGAACCCAGAAAAATAATGCGCGTACTTTCACCTCCGTGAGAAAACTGTAACCTGCGTAACCAACAACACATTGAAGGCGCCTTCAGATCTGTAGCAGTATCAGAGCACGCAGATATGATTGTGATTACTATTATCTTCTGGAATACGACACTGTGCTACCGCGTGCATAGTATGTTAATAAAAATAAGAGGCAGAATATGTAAAATTATAAACGCGTGATTAATTAATTAAACAGCAATATTTGGAGAGGTATGAGGTAATTCCCAGCCTCTGCAGTGAGTGAAGGTGAGTGTTAGCGTTATTCTCGAGGACACGATCCCTGGTACTCAGTGAGCGGACCGCAGATCCTGACTGTACGCTCTTGCCCGTTTCAGAACTTGAACCCCGGTTTTCTAGTTGTCCAGCTTGTAGCTACACGTTTTTTCCCTTGGCACTACAGTCCCAGTGGGCCTAGGCTTACCTCCATGAACTTCTCCGTTCACTTCGGTTTTTCTAGATCTTACACATTCGGTAGGACTCCTTGGGCGGGTGATCAGCTCGTCGCAAGGCCTCTACCTGTACACAAACACAGAAAAACGCACAGAAACATCCATGCCCTGAGTGGGATTCGAAACCACGATCTCGGCTTCCGAGCGATCGAAGACAGTGCATGCCTTAGACCGCTCGGCTACCGTGACTGGCTAGCCACTCGTTTTGCAGATTGAAATATTCAATACAAAATATTATGTTTCTGGACATTACCATCGTCCTGTTTTTATACAAAACACCGTCCTATATATGTTTTACATTAAGACAAGACGATGGTAATGTCCAGAAACATAATATTTGTACTAATGTGCCATCTACAAAAACTTTTTAGATCTTATGAAATAATGCAGTTTCGTACTGATGGAAATTATGAACAAAAACAAATTAATAAGTAAAATAGAATTTCGAAAGTCTTACCACACAGATATCTCCTCTTGGATAGCCGTATAGTGGAATTTAATTAGTTTTTATTTTAATTATGTCTGT